AGGATTTCCTGCCCCTTCGAATCTGACTGAAAATGAGCGAACATCTTCTGCCAGCTTTCCCTTCCTACATACAGTTGTTGGTGAGCCTGGCATCCACAACCCAGCCAACTTTGCAGAAAACCACAGTTTAGATGGAAAATCACTTTTGGTTTCTGGCTCCTCAGCAGTACTGCACATCTAATTAGCTCAACAATTGGTCCCTGTGATAAAATCAGCTAATTTTATGTTCAAATGGCTGCACTGTGGTAAGCAATACTGTCACTCTAAACTTCCCATATAAAGAAATTGCTGAAGAAGCTGGTTACTAGGGGGTCACTGAGGGCAACTAGTGAAGACGATTCAGTGAGTAACTTAAGCCAATGTTATAGTTAGTATATGGGGTCCCACCAGGGCTCAAATAAGACAGATCCCCAGAAACACCCACCTTTAGAGGGGAAAACTGTATCTATAAAATGAACAGAACGAGCCATCTTCAGATGTACCCACTTTCAGAACTAAACCTAAATGTTTTGTGATGAGATTGCAGAGCTCTAGACTCTAATCTGGTAGTGTTAAGAAATGGCTCTCCCTAGATGAAACACCTCTGTTGTTTCAGAAATTTGTTCAAGCTTACCCTAGATACAAAATACTGGAAAGCCAATTCCAAGGGTCACTTCGTCCACTCCCTGCTCTCCTTCAATCGGCAGTTAAAGCAGCTGGTGAGATCTGAGACCCCCCTTTCTGTGGAATTCTTTAGAAACCAAATAACTTATTAAGGTAAATGTAAAAGCACAGATCGACTTCTCTGTGGTATAAAAGCTGATCGTATCACCTCTCACAGGCATTGCAAATTGTGGATTTCTTGTATGTATTATCAATTATACCAATCGAATGAAGAGTTAGAAGGTCATACAAGCTTCAAAATTAAAAACCAGGACCCCTAAAATATGTAAATGCATAAAATGTTGTATAAAGACACTGAGAGATAGACACAGCTATATCTAAATATATCTATTATAGCTGTAAATGTTCATAGATAAACATAGTCAAAGAGACCGAAGACTTATAAATGACTTCATCTGTGTAAAATGCTTAAAACACGAAGTTGCAAGTCTCAGGTGGCACTGTCATTGCTGTTCCATTACCACTATCATTATCATCTAGCTGTCTATAGACACTCTACATGACTATGTTATGTAAACTATATCACCATATGATTACAGTGGGATGCCCTGCTAAAATTGAACTTGCGTTTTTCCTTCTCTGATCCAACAGAAGTGCCAGAAAGTCACTCGATCATGGGACATCATCCCAGAGCCGTTGTAGCCAGCGGCCCTGCCTGACTGGGGGGCGGGAAGGACCCTCTGTAGACAGTGGCGCCAAACAGAGCTCCCACGCCACTCCTGGTTTTTGTGATCTCTCTGCGCTTGCTTGAGTTCCGCCACAGTGACCAGTTCTGTACAGACTCCAGGCCACTCGATGCAGCCTTTAGCACCTACAGTGCCTCACCACCCTCGCCATGTGCCTCTTTTCTCCTGCCCTGGCACGCATTATCTTGAGCCCCCACATGTGCAATCCCAGAGTGCAGAGTGAACTCACAGGTGACAGCATCCAAGGGAAATATGCTTCCTGTCTTCCAGAACACCTGGTCATTTCACCAGGCTCAAACAACCCATTGCTAGTGGCAGGGGCCAACTTGTATTGGGTCTCCCTCCTTTTCTCTCCCCCAACGCCACCTCCCACCCCATCCCTTACTCCTACTCCGTGGCACCACGCACCCTTGTGATTCTTCACATACAAGCCTTGGCTTGGTCTCTGAGTTCCGTGGGAACCAGGCTAAGATACAAATCACAGTGGCACCTGGGTACAGGTGCTCAGTGAGCCCTACTGCTCACCAGGATGGGGTACACAATGAGACACTTGGTTTCTGCAAGGAAATACAACTTGACCCTTGTGCTGTGGTCTCTGGAAATGAAAAGGAGAGCAGTGCCTGGTGCAGCACTTCTGAAGGGCATGAGGACCTGTGCTCCATTTGGTTAGAACAACTGTCTAAAATATAAGATTAGTCTTTCCAAAATCTACAGAAATAATGGAGAAATGATTAAAGCAGTGAATTAACTAATTATGCAATACCCAAATTTTAACTCCTTGGATATCATTTATCTAAAATCAACATGGGTTACATTCAAAGCAAAGGGCAGAAAATGGAAAATGAAGTGTAAGGAAGCCTCTTTAATATCATGTGAAGAGCACTGACCTACTGAACTTAAAATCTTCATTGCGAACACTCATATATCATCTCATTCCAAGAGATTCTGGAGAGAAGTTAATATGCTTCCAGAGTCACTTAGTATCACAGTTGGTACCCTAGGGGACTATGAATCGCTACATTAGGCAATTCATAGACAGCACTGATCATGCGTGACTTTCGTTCTAATGATGAACATTGCCTTTGTAATTAAATACGCGGGGATGAAACCACTTGAAACACTTTTTAAGTTCTTGGTTGGGGTTGGTTCTCTACGGTTCCCAGAGCAAGGACCTGCCTGGTACAGCATTCTCCCGTCCATCTCTCAAATGGAGGTGTTCCTCAGGTACCAGACCTCCTTCTCTGCTCATCGCATTACTTCTCCCAAGGGATCTTATCAGCAACAAGGGTTTCATTTACACTATAAGCTGACGATTTCCAATAATAATAATAAAGGCTCCTGTTTATGGAGCACTTACTATGTACTAGACTCTGTGCTTCATAAGTTTTGCCCAGTTAATAGTCCCAACAAGGTGGGAATGGCCCGCGTCTCCTCTCAACAGCTACTTGAATGTTCCTGTCATGGGCACCTCAAATTCCACCTTTCCAAAACTTAACTTACCTTCCCCACAAATCTACCCCTGCTCTTCCATACCTTTGTACAGAAAATCACTAGCCAGAAGCCTGTAAGTCACCCTGGACTCATCTTCCTCATTGATTCTTCACTACAATGGTGTTCCAAGTTTTATTCATTCTACTTCCTATGTAGGAATCCCATCCATAATCCCATTCATACCTTCCACCATCCTAGACAAAGCTCCTATCATCTCCACCCTGGAGTCCGGTAACACCCACCCAACTCATCTCCCTGCATCCACTCATACCTCTCTTTAATTCAAATTATGCTACTGACAGTGCTTATGTCTTTCAGCATCTGAAAAATGGGGATAACAGGATCTCCCTCATCTCATGGGTCTACTTGAGTCAAATGAGACACATGGCTTCCTAAGTCTCAGGCACTTGACAATAAGTTACACAGATGACATGTGGATGCAGACAATGATGCTAGAGGCTGTAACCACCCCCATAAATGCCCAGGTAAGCCCACCATCATCAGAAAAGCCATGATGAAAGGGTAGTTTCATTTTTAGAATGAAAATATAAGTACACTCAAATTACTCCATAACTTAGCAGCTTAAAACAACAGACATTTATTATCTCATAGCTTCTGTGGCACAGCTTAGCTGTGTGCCTCTGGCTCAAGGTCTCTTCACGAGGCTGCATTCAAACTTCCAGCCTGGGCTGCAGTCTCATCTGAAGGCTTGACTGGGGCTGAGGGGCTTCCAATCTTGTTCATGTGGTTCTTGGCAGGCTTTCATCCCTTACCACATGAGCCTTTCTACAGGGCGACCTCATGACAAAACAGCTGGATCCCTCCAGGGCAAGTGATCCCAGAGAATGAGTGAGGAAGTTCACACAACAGGAGCCATATTCTTTAGCTGACTTAATCTCAGAATGACATCCCATCACTTCTGTCATTTATTAGAAAGGAGTCACTAAATCCAGCCCATACTCAAGGAGAAGGGATTACACACGGGCAGAGACCACTGGGGGCTGTTTACTGTGACCAGCCAAGCAGACATCACAGCCTTGGAGGAAGGTGGAGGGGCTGAGGAAGGAATGGGCCCCAGTAGCGTCTCCCTAAGCCCTCTCTGCTCATCAGCATCGAGCTGACCATGAGTTGAGAGTCTTGCTACCCACCTGTAAGTGGATCACCACCTCTCTGTCTCCACACAAAATAATAAGAGAATACACACATTCCTGGGGTGTCGCATGCCAGACGTTTCACATCATTCTAAAGTAGACCAGCATTATAATAATTACTAGCTCTGATGTCAAATGCAAATCCACATCAGAAAATACCATGACAATTAAGATTGAAATATTATCACAAAGCTCTAAAACCAAAACGACCCATTGTTTCTTAAAGAACAACATCTCTATTGGAGAAGAGAAGTTTTTTAAAATAGTACACAAGTTAACAGTGAAAATAATTATTCTGTGATATAAAATATATTTCTGAGAAGTATTTTTATTATAATTCATTTTACTATTACTGGCAAGAGAGAGGGTTAAAGATATGCTGGAGTCCTAACCCCTCAGAATGTGACTTTACTTGGAGACGGGACATTTACAGAGGTAATTCAGTTACATGAGGGTCTTAGGGTGAGGCCTGATCCAATATGACTGAAGTCCATATAAAAATGAGAAATTTTGACACAGAAATGGACACATATAAAGGCAAAATAATGTGAATATACATAGAGAGGAGACGCCATCTCCAAGCCAAGAAGAGGGGCTCAGAATAGATCTGCCCTTCAGAACCCTCAGAAGAAACAAGCCTGCCAACACCTTGATCTTGGATTTCTAGCCTCCAGAACTGTGAGACTTTAATTGTCTGTTGTTTAAACCACCCAGTCTGTGGTATTTCGTTAGGGCATCCCTAGTAAACTAACACAGAGAGAAGAAGACAGAAAGAGATTCAGATAGAAAGAGACAAAAAAGAGAGACAGAGAGAGAGAGAGAGAGAGAAAGACTGTGTTGTAACAAACTAGATATTCATCTGGATGAGTTGCTTTAGAGAGAAATACCTATGGGTCTACTCTTAAAATCTCATTTAGCACATTTACCGGGCACAAAGGCTCTACTCTAAAAGACATGCAACTGGAACACAATCCCGGGCGAAAAGAACCAGACCCCTCTAAATTGGTACCAGCCCAGGTCGCAGTGGCCCGAGCCCGGGGACGGGCGCCTGAACAGCCCCTACCTTCTGGTAGTCCTCTCTGGACCTCAGGGCTGCCTCCAACTGCTTGGCAGAGGTCGGGTAGACAGCCGAGCGGTACTGAGTGCCGTGGTCGTTGCCTTGGCGCATGCCTGGGAAAGCAGAAAGCAGAGCGGTTTACTGGGGACACTGGGCCACGGTGTCACCATCCAGCTAGGCAAAATGCTGACATATTTCAACACTTTTTTCATAAGGTCCCCACGACTGACGTAGTGCTAAGAGCCTGTTTGCATTTGACCTTGACATCACTTCCTTTAAACAAACATGAAATGTTACCTGTTTTGCCTGTTTTATAACAAACATCTTTGAACTCAGGTGAATTTATCACAGGTCTTGGAGTATACTAGATGCCCTACAAGTACACATGATTATATGCAAGTGTTGAAAGAACAACCTATTCCATGTATCGCATGTAACACACTATGATATGCACTGTTTCCTTAAATCCTAATGAGACACTCTGTGTGGAAGGAATCACAGTCTCTCACCTGACAGATGAAGGAATGGGATACTGGCTGTGTAAGAACCTGGCATAGTGCTTGGCACATGGCAAGAGTCCTACACCTTCGACTAAGGTCGTCCACCTAGTCCAAGGGGACCTGGGTCTTACATCAGAAAAGCGCACCTTCCACCGGTCACAGTGACTGAAGGGTATGTTTTTGAGTCAGAATACCCAGAGTGAAACAGCCACAGACTTACCACAGAGCCCCTGTAGATCACCATGTTGTCAGCAAAATGAACTAGGTACTAGGATTCAGAAGGAAGACACAGTAGCATCTTCCAACTAGTCACACCCTTAATACAGAAAGAGGAAACAGAGACCAATAAGCATAATCGAGTGTTAGAGGTGTTACAGGAAAGGTCTGTGCAGGTTTAAAAAAATCCACGAGTCCAGGGAGGGGAAAGGGTGAGTTCAAGTGAACCATGGGATGGGTTCTCGTCTTGAAAGGGCAGTCGCCAGGCATGGAGTCAAAGACATTCTTCAGGAGACAGAACAAAGACAAGGATGACGGAACACCCTGGTCCTTCAGGGACTTGTAAGGAACCGGCACTGCTTGCACAAGGAGCTGCAATATGGACAGCATCTGCATCGAAGCCCCAAAGCAAGATTCTCAAGAGAATGAGCATGTTACCATCAAGCTTGAAGCCCAGACCAAGAAAAACGGTTCACTGGGACACATGATTGGATGCTCAAAAAACTGAATATCCGAATGAGAAAACCAACACCTTGAAGCTACTGGAAATACAAGAAGAGGCCCCGTTGGTCCACTCACTGAATCACAAAATACACAAAATATTTGACGGTTACACATTGGTCTAAACAGGCTTTATAATGCTGTCCTCCAGGGGGCAAAATTAACCAAAATTACACTTTGAGAAAGGATAGAAAAATGTCATTGAGAGACAGAATAGCGCCCAAATATCTTTCCCTCTTCTGCACATAAATATGTTCTCTCCAGCAAGAAGAATTCATGTAGTGTCGCCTGTATACCCAATACCGTGGAGGCTACAGAAGAATTAGATCATCATCCTTGATCTCAGGAAGTAACCTGCACGAGGGAGGGAGGGGAAGGAGCAGTCACGAGCTTGACACTGGACTTCACTGTGTGAGGTCTTTGCCATTATTTCTGTCTCACCCTCACATGAGCCCTGTGAAGAAGATATTCTTAACCGTCTTTGACAAAAAGGAAATTATGGGTCAGAGACATTCAGCGACCTGCCTGAGGTCACATGGCAGGTAAATGGGTGTCCTATGATTTAAACCTCGATCTGTTTGACACAAAAGCTCTTTCTCCTTTCAAAACAGATGCACACGAAGTTACAGCAAAACAACAGAAAACAACAGAACAAAGTGCTCCTGCCTGTGATGTATCAGGTGGCCAGAGGAACGCCCCAGCCAAAGGCCCAGAAATCGGAACAAGCTTGGTATGTTCTGAGGACTGTGAAGAGACAGGACTGGGTCTGACAAGGGACAAAGAAGCCAGCTGGTTGAGCGTGAGGCCACACAGGTATCTTGACAAGCCGCACCAGGACGAAAGATGATGGAGCGATCAGCGTCATGAAAGCTACAGAATTTTCTGGACTCCTGGGTGAGTATGATCACCAATAACCCAGAACGCTCTTTCACACAGATTCACCAAGTGTCACGAAGTTCACTGTGTCCTCCACTTGGCTTTGGGAAACTAAGAGGATAAATTATGGACATTATCTGGCTGTCTTCATGCCCCAGAAAAGCAAGCGATGGGCTTGCTGTGGAGGGTGAAAAGAGAATTACAGGCTCAGAAACAACATCTTGTGCTTAAAATTCTTCCATGACACTCCATGAACTGATTAATGAGGACTGGGCTTTGGGGCATTCTTGATGAGGACTGACCTCTTGGCATCTACCAACTGCTGGAGATTTCGCCGTCCACCTTCTCAATGAAGATTTTAAAGGGACAAATCCCCCTGCCATCCTGAGACTGCTTCAAGGTTTCTCCCCACTCTCAGCAGAGCCAGAGAAAACACTGGAAAACAGAGGAATGCTTAATCTATAATGCAGCATAAGATGGATGAGTTCTCAGCTGTTCAAAGGGCCCTCTAAGCTTCAGCTCATCTTTGGGTCCCAGCTCTGTTTTATCCCTCCTAATTGGAGACGTGAGAAATGTGGGTGAACATGGGGATTTTACAGGGAAGTTCATGCTATGAGCTGTTGCTAGGTGATCACTTTACGCGGTCCCGGGAGTTACCAGCGATGGTTAACATCAGGGCAGGTAAGGACAGATTCCTAAGGGTCTGAAATTACTATCTCTATCTTAGGGAACTTCAAAGGAGCAATCTCATTAGCAGGACTATCCATGCTGGTTGCAAATACTCCCGCCAGGATGAACTCCACATTCTTCTCTTCTATATATGGTTGCTAGGAAAAAATTGATCCTGACTCACAATCTGCTGCACCAAAGGGCCACCTGCATGCCGCAGTGGTGCAGGAAGACACCGGAGTTGACGGCGGAAGGGCTGACGCAGGTGCAGCTTCAGCATGGCCTCCTGCCATGTGCTGGAAAATAGGGTCTCCAGGGGAAAGGACACCACAGCGCCCTGGAGTCCTCTCACAGGTAGATGGGTCTGTGACCCTCACAGTGATGAATGGCACTTATCACCCATGTGACCCTTCCTGGCACACCTGGCCTTTACCTCAGGTGCTTGAGACGAGTCCTATTAATATGGAACAATCTCGCTGTACCTGACCGAAAAGTTAATTCGGAGAAGTTTAACTGACGGCTCATTTTTTTTTTTTTTTGAGTTGGAGTCTCATTCTGTCGCCCAGACTGGAGTGCAGTGGCCGCTCCCGGCCACCGCAGCCTCGACCAACTGGGCTCCGGCGATCCGTTCGCCTCAGCCTTCCAAGTAGCCGGAACAACAGGGGCGCGCTACCACGTCCGGCTGATTTTTTTTTTTATTTATTGTAGAGATGAGGTCTCGCCAAGTTGCCCAGGCAGGTCTCGAACCCACGGGATCAGGCAATCCACTCACCTCGGCATCCCAAAACGCGGGATTACAGGCCAAGCGACGGCTCATTTTAAATGTAAAATGCAGAATAAAGAATGGGCAGCCCTCGTTTCTTTAAAAGGAAGGGAAGAACGGAAGGAGGTAGGGAGGTCACCAAAATCGCTAAGGATTCTGGAACCCTCACTATGTGCCAGGCACTGTGCTTTACCTCTGTTTTCCATCCAATTCTGCAAACACTTGGAGTTTTATTATCAAACCCACTTCTCAGAAGATGGGACTTACACTCTGGGGGCAGTTGGCGCCTACTCAAGGCTCAAGACCAGTGCTGCATCGGAAGCCATCTAACCCCCACACCCAAGATCTTAACCACTATTATGCCCATGTGCAAATACTGTAAAAAAAAATAAATAAAGTGGAACACAGTGGGTTATGAAAGATATTAGGTGACTCTCTTCTAAAAGGAAATATCCTGTGGTCACTATCATTTTCAAAATGTCCTTTGTATGTTTTCAAGAAATGCATTTCAAGAGAGATAAAAGACTATTGCTGTATAAAAGAAGTGCTAAGTATTCACTCTGTATCTGAAAGCAAAAAGAAAAGGTTTTGATTTTCGGTAATAAGCCCACATTACTTCATAATCATAAATAAATTATTTTGAAAAGACGAGGTGATTTCTTCCTAAAAGGTAAAATGTTATCTTAGCGTGAATTCTGCTTGTTAAAAGAAAAGGGAAATTCTATTCATGGCTGGCCAAGTAAAACATTTTTAATTATTATATGCTCCCTAGAATGTCTTCTGGAGCTGGGCTCGGTGGCTCAGCCTGTAATCCCGCGCCTTTGGGAGGCTGAGGTGAGTGGATTGCCTGAGCCTGCGGGTTCGAGACCCGCCTGGGCAGCGAGACCTCATCTCTACAATAAATCAAAAAATCAGCTGGGCGTGGTAGCACATGCCTGTAATTCCGGCTGCTCAGAAGACTGAGGTGGAAGGATCGCCGGAGCCCACCAGGTGAGGCTGCGGTGGCCGGGAGCGGCCACTGCACTCCAGTCTGGGTGACCGAGTGAGACTCCAACTCAAAAAAAAAAAAAAAAGAATGTCTTCTGGGACTCCTTATCTGTTTATGCTCCAAACTCCCAAGTTTGATCAAATAATGAAAGTATAAGAAAACTTTCAAAATATTAAAATTTCCATGTCACCGTTTTCAGCCCCAATTTTTAAAGTTTTGGAGCAATGAGTCAGCCAACGTGCCCTCCTACAGAACATGAAGCATGTAAGTGAGATTTCCAAAATGTTGACATTTGAAACAGTACCAAGAACATGTGTATCTGCAAAGTCACAAAGCTAGTCCTTCACCATGGACAGCGTTCACAGCATCAGCAGAAGTAGCGATCAACACATCCCAACTTCATAGTTTCCAGATCTGATTTCAGAAACGTGCATGACACACAAACGTACAAAAGTACATAAACACAAATGCACAGTTTACTTAATATTACTCTATTATAGATGACATATGATCATTTAGTACAAGTATTTATTATGCACTGAACACTTGTTACACAACCACCACTGCTGTCAAGTCAGAGGGTGCTGCCAGCCCCCTGAG